CAATATTTAACTAAGTGGAATTGTGGGTTTTTTCTCAATCATTTTAGTTTTGTATATGTAGGAATCTAGTTCCTATTATCATGACTGGGCATTTAGAAATAAATATGATAATAATAAATCAACCAAATAACCTCCATAGTAGCTTTTCAAAATTCTCTTCTAATTCTTCCTGTTCTTCTCAAACCACCTCTAACACTATATGCATTTTCTAGACATTTATGAAAATGAGCTGAAAATCTGAAGGGCAATGATATTTTACATAATTTTATTCTACCTCATGTTTTTATCACAGAAGCAGTGTTCACTGTTAAATAAAAATTTCTTTATCTGCTGATAGCTATGTTTCTACCTGCTATCACTTTTTCAATGCTCCTTTTAAATCCAGGATATCTGAATGTAAATTATCTAACATGTCACTGGATATGATGTTGTTTTTTTTGTAAGCACAGTCCTTCAAACTATAGGCTAGAAATGTCATTTTATTTTAGACAATTTTCTCCACAGGCCTAGAGAAAAACTAGATTCTATAAAAGCTATTTAGTCAAAAGCTTTCTCTTGAAAACAAAAACAAAAAACAAGGTTGAAGAACCAAATAACTTACTTGGTCCTCATAAAGTTAAAGGAAAGATAATTGAATATGTGATGCAGGGAATTCCCTGGTGGTCCAGTGGTTAGAACTCTACACTCTCACTGCTGAGGGCCCAAGTTCAATCCCTGGTTGGGGAACTAAGATCCCACAAGAAAAAACAAGGTTGAAGAACCAAATAACTTACTTGGTTCTCATAAAGTTAAAGGAAAGATAATTGAATATGTGATGCAGGGAATTCCCTGGTGGTCCAGTGGTTAGAACTCTACACTCTCACTGCTGAGGGCCCAAGTTCAATCCCTGGTTGGGGAACTAAGATCCCACAAGTTGTGTGGTGTAGCAAATAAATGAACAAACAAAATATGCAGTTTAAAAAAAAAATATGTGATGCAAGCTCTAAAGGAAATCAACCCTGACTATTTATTGGAATGACTGACACTGAAGCTGAAGCTCCAATACCTTGGCCACCTGATGTGAAGAACTGACTCATTGGGAAAGACCCTGATGCTGGGAAAGACTGTGGGCAGGAGGAGAAGGGGGTAGCAGAGGATGAGATGGTTAGGTAGCATCACTGACTCAATGGCCATGAGTTTGAGCAAACCCCAGGATAAAGTGAAGGACAGGGAAGCCTGGTGTATTGCAGTCCATAGGGCTGCAAAGAATTGAACATGACTTAGCCACTGAAGAACAACTGCCATGAATTTTAAAAAATCCTTCTTGAATCTCAATCCTATGCGTTAATGGCATTTGAATATTTTAAAAAGAGAGAGAGAGAGATGCTGCTTGGCCAGGTGTATCTATACCTTAATGCTATCTTTACATTCCCAGAATTTGGCTTTTCACTTTGTAGATTTATAAATGCAAAGATGAATGAGTTATAGGGGGGAAGTCATGCTGACTAGTGAACTATAAAGCATTGCTGTAAAATAGCATCAAAGTTTACTAATATACAATATGAGAAACAGGGGTCATAAGCAGGCTTGTTGTAATTGTTAGTTCATGATCACATAACTTCCTACTGATTAGCATGTCAATGTGGGAAGCCAAATTCTGATCAAAAGGTAAGTTGGTGAGCTTAGTATCTGAAGAGGAAGCGTTAATCTCATAATTACAAAGGGTAGAACCATCTATCTGCTCAGTGTCCTTCGTTTCATTATCTTGGGTCTTTTACAGGTGCCTCTGTACCAAACTCGGTCTTTATTCTAAAGAGTACACATTCTAGCTGAAAAAAGTCAAAGTGTTAGTCACTCAGAGGTGTCTGACTCTTTGCGACCCCATGGACTGTAGCCCGCCAGGTTCCTCAGTCCATGGGCTTCTCCAAGCAAGAACACTGGTGAGGGTTGCCACTTCCCACTCTAGGATGGAACCCAGAGATCAAATCCAGGTCTCCTGCTGTGCAGGCAGATTCCTTACCATCTGAGCCACCAGTGAAACAATTACAATCCTATAATGTCCCTTAAAATCTACCCCCAAAATTTAGGAATTGTGGATATTTTCAAATTATATTCAATTTATGTATTGCATTTAACAGGGCTTCCCAGGTGGCTCAGAGGTAAAGAATCTGCCTGCCAATGCAGGAGACCTGGGTTTGATCTCTGGGTTTGATCCCTAGAGAAAGAAATGGCAACCCTCTGCCCATGGGATTTCCCAGGCAAGAATACTGGAGAGGGTTGCCTGGCAGGCTACAGTCCAAGGGGTTGCAAAAGTGTTGGACACGACTTAGCAACCAAACCATCACCACTATGATGATGTATGTTAACTAGATCTATTGTGGTGACCATTGCAATATACAAATACTGAATCACTATGGTAAACCTGCAACTAACATAATGTTATATGTCAATTATACCTCAATGAAAAAAGTATATAAAAGACATATGGAATTCAGATGAAATGATAAAATATCTCAGATTTTCAGCAAAATAATCTAGTGATGGAAATAGGGAGTGAAATAAATCAAGAGTTGATAATCATTAGCATAGAGTTAATGGTATGTTAGCATTTACTACACTATTCTATTTTAGCATATGATTGAAGTTTTCTGTAATTTAAGAAAAAGATTAAAAAAAATTGCACATAGAGAATGTTAAGTTCCAATTCAGCTAAAAAGGTTTCTGTGGAGCATCTGTCGCACACCAAGTACTCTCTGCGTGTCTGTGTTTACTGCTTTGTTACAGTAAAATGCATGCATGCTCAGTTGCTTTAGTCAGGTCCAACTCTGTGTCTCTACAGACTGTAACCCATCAGGCTTCTCCATCCGTGGGATTCTCCAGGCAAGAATACTGGAGTGGGTTTCCGTGCCCTCCTCCAGGGGATCTTCCTGATCCAGGGATTGAACTGGCATCTCCTGTGTCTTCGACATTGCAGGCGATTCTTTACCCACTGAGCCACTCGGGAAGCCCACGGTAAAATACATGGCTGATATTAACGTGGTCAAAATGTGATGCCTCGAATCCTAATTTACTCCCAGGGAGTGGCTCAATAAACTGATAAGAACAGTCCTTGAAGCACTGAAGGTAGCGCTTTCTTATTCCCAGAACTGCACTTTAAAACTCTAAAGCCAATATTTCAGTTATACTTAACTCCAATAGGTAACTTATGAAGTTTATAGCTCAGCTCTTTACATACGAAGTGATTCAATCACGATGTTGGTAATATTTACAAGAAACATGCCTGACATTCAGAATTCAACATCACATTGTATAATGGATTTCTTCTTTGTAATGATACTGCTGTGCTTTATAAATATAGATGACAACTATTATCTATGTATCATGAAATCAAGAAATTAGAATCTGGAGTTAGAAGGGGTTTTCTCTTGTTTTCTTTAAGGTTTTTGATTTTATATTAATTTGAGGAACTGCGTCACATTCTTCCCATCACAGACTCCACTTGTCCATTTTAAAAGGAAGCTACAGAGATAAATTTGCTTCTAACTGATAAGAATTTAAAGTATGTAGTTTCCCTGAAGCCTTTTGAGGGTATGACTAATTCACTTCTTTGCTTCAATAAACAATCCCAGTTTCACAGCTATTATCTTCCCAACTCTATAGAGAGTAACTTGTTGATCCATAAAATTGTCACATATTTATTTATAAGGATACTATAGCCATCTGTCCTTTGGTCAGGAACGACCTAATATTTCAAATCACACAGACCTCTTTTTGTTGTATTTTAGATCACATCTGAAGTGGGAAGAAAAAGAATTTCTCTTCCTGCCCAATTTTACAATGGGACAAAGCCTGCACTGAATAACGCAGAAGCCTGTTGGAGATAACTTCTTCCAAGGAGTAAGCGTCTTTTCCAAAATTAAAAGACACTTACTCCTTGGAAGAAAAGTTATGACCAACCTAGACAGCATATTAAAAAGCAGAGACATTACTTTGCCAACAAAGGTCTGTCTAGTCAAAGCTGGTTTTTCCAGTGGTCATATATGGATGTGAGAGTTGGACTATAAAGAAAGCTGAGCGCCAAAGAATTGATGCTTTTGAACTGTGGTATTGGAGAAGACTCTTGAGAGTCCCTTGGACTGCATGGAGATCCAACCAGTCCATCCTAAAGGAAATCAGTCCTGAATATGCAGAAGCTGAAACTCCAATAGTCTGGCCACCTGATGCGAAAAACTGACTCATTTGGAAAGACCCTGATGCTGGGAAAGACTGAAGGCAGGAGGAGAAGGGGACAACAAAGGACAAGCTGGTTGGATGGCTCACTGACCTAATGGACATGAGTTTGAGTAAACTCCGGGAGTTGGTGATGAACAGGGAGGCCTGGCGTGCTGCAGTCCATGGGGTTGCAAAGAGTCAGACACGACTGAGCTATTGAACTGAACTGAACTGAACTGTTGGAGATGGGCTCCAGGTTACAAACACAAAGGGAGCAAGAGCAGCCTACTCATGATTTGGACTACAGAGGGCGGTCATTCTGAAGGAATGGAGAACGGCTGGTTGGCACATCCCAGAGAAACACAGCCCAATGAAGCCTATTGTTGTTGTTTAGCCGCTAAGACATGTCTGATGCTTGCAACCCCTTGGGTGGTAGTCTGCCAGGCTCCTCTGTCCATGGGATTCTCCTAGCAAGAATACTGAAGTGGGTTGCCATTTCCTTCTCCAGGGGATCTTTCCGACCAAGGGATTGAACCCTTATCTCCTGCATTGGCAGGCATGTTCTTTACCACTCAGTCACCAGGGAAGCCCCCAGTGTTCTAACCTTCCACTAATTTACAGACCTTTCTGAGCTATGATTCAGGAACCCAGAGAAGCTGCTAGTGTAGACACTGACCCCACTAGATCCACCTCAAGCTGATGCAGGTTATTGGAAGCATTCCTCCGCCTCCCCATCTCCCCAAAGACAGAATAAAGTCTGTTAAAAGTGAACCTCCAAGTGTAAGTGACATATTAACTCCAAAATGTACCTTGATTCAAAGCCAGGGCAGGGGCATAAATAACAATTCCAGTATACAGAATCTAGAGGAAAAAAGAAATAAATAGTATGAATTACAAAATGAAATATTGATATTTTTCTATAAATTTACTTATGAATTAAAAACCATAGTTTCAATACACTTTAACAAAATTTGCTTGTAACTTGAAAATGTTATTTAAGTGAAGTTGACTCTCCTTTTCTATTTGGGGTATGGTCATAGGTTACAAAAACCTTTTACGACCAATTTTATGTAAAAATGTGGACTTTTCATGCAGTGCTTAGTGCAGATAGTCACTAATCCATCAATTCAAGTCACTAATCCAATTTTCCTAGATCTGGAACAATTTGGAAGAAAGAAAGGGTACAGATTTAAAAGGGTGATGCTTGTTCATATGCTTTCAAACTTTTGTCAATCACTGCAGATGTAAGTGAGAAAGCAGTGAAAATTTTGGAAACTTGTTTGCAAAAGCTGGCATGACCACTAATTAAACAAAAGTGTAAATTTGCCCTAAAATTTCCTGAGGGCCAACAAAAATTCTACTCTATCTTTAATATTATTATTTTTCATTCATACACCTAACAAATATTTATTAATCTGGGGTACAACAGTAAGATAAATATGCTCTTTTTCTCAAAATATCATTTTCATTGCATCTGATCTTTCAAATACATACAGGCTAATTCTTTGGGCTCCACAATGAACTACAAACCATTGGCTTCCAGATTGAAACAATTGGCAAGAAGGTGTCTCCAAAGAGAATTCCATATGCTCCTTCTGGTGAAATTTCAAAGTTTAGTCTTCAGAATACGCCCAACAAGAAACCCGGAGCATAGACATTGCCATTTTTATTTGTAACTTTTTTGGTACTTCAAGATAGCAAATAACTATCTGATATTAAATGATAAATGAACCAAGTGCTTTTAAGGAAGCAAAACTATTTTTTTAATAATCAAATCTATACTAGCTATATGGGAATTAGCATATCTGGTAATTATGAAACTAGAGTTTTTTTTACATATTTTTATAATATTGTTACCTCAGTGATTGGATGAGTAGCAAATAATCATGTTGGTTTTAATGGTATCAATTTTTGTAAAATTAAACTTCAAACACTTTTTATTTTATAAAATATCTTTAGGCAGCACTTCAATATCGAATGGTAATGGGAGTGGCCCTCCTCAGTTTTTCTGATCAGTGGTTTATCTACTTGTCATTAAGTACATATTTTCACTGCTGGAGTAGGAAGTGACTACTCACTCCAGTATTCTTGCCTGGGAAGTTCTGTGGACAGAGGAGCTTGGCTGGCTACAGTCCCTGGAATTGCAACAGAATCAGACACAACTTCGGAGAAGGCAACGGCACCCCACTCCAGTACTCTTGCCTGGAAAATCCCAAGGACAGAGGAGCCTGGTGGGCTGCAGTCCATGGGGTCTTGAAGAGTCGGACACGACTGAGTGACTTCACTTTCACTTTTCACTTTCATGCATTGGAGAAGGACATGGCAACCCACTCCAGTGTTCGTGCCTGGAGAATCCCAGGGACGGGGGAGCCTGGTGGGCTGCCATCTATGGGGTCGCACAGAGTTGGACACGACTGAAGTGACTTAGCAGAAATTCTATGATTACGCTATAAAATATACTATGAAAAAAAATTCAGTATTTGAATGTTTGATTACATTGCATGAGTAGATGTATAGAAGTAAGTCCTTCAAACAGTGGATTCGAAAGCTTCCCTTCCTTTTCAGGAATGCACTGGCTTTCCACAGTCATTATATCATCCAAGTTAAAGATTTGAAAATGTCACCCAGCCATCTTCTTAACATTCGTCCCCACTCTTACATTTCTGTTGGCACTTCTAATGATGATCCAAAGAGGGACTGAACTCCATCGTGGAATGCAAGCTACCAGGCTCAGCTCTGGGTCAGAATCTCTACCAGACCCCAGAGGGCTCTTTTCTCCCATACTGCAAGTGTTAAGGGCAAATACAGCTTAAGCTACATAGCTAGCAAAGATAAAAAATGAAGCTAAGTTAAATAATTTACAAAGGCACTCTGTCTTGCTGTAGCAAATGCTTGGGTAGCTCTTGACTGGAGAAATGGAATTATAAATCGGGATGAGATTGAAAACTCCCTCCTCAACCTCCATTATCAAACTCATTCATGAAAGACTTAGCTGTCAAGAGGGAGATAGGTCTAAATTATGTGACAATGGTCATGACAAGAGGATGGGTGGGAAGCAATCTCTGTCGCTGATGACTTGGCAAGTCTTTGATTTGATTTGTGCCCATCAGTAAATCTATACTTGCATATTTTTGAAGTACTGGATTGGGGGAGGGGGTGTTTTTTCTGACCCCGTGGACTGTAGCCCGCCAGGCTCCTCTGTCCATGGGACTTGCTAGGCAAGAGTGCTGGCGTGTGCTGCCATTTCCTTCTCCAGGGAATCTTCCCAACTCAGGGACTGAACCTGAGTCTCCTGTTTGGCAGGCAGACTTTTTCCCACTGAGCAACCTGGGAAGCCCATGGGGTTGCGCGCTTGGCTTTAAAAACTCCTCCTGAGAGCATGATGCTGCTGCTTTATACTCAGTGAGCATATCAATTAGGTTTTACAGTTCAATTTCTGAAAGAGTTCATGGATTCATTTTTTTAAAGTGTGCTTTCAAGGAAAATTATTTTCAAATGTTTTTCTTACTATGTCAGCTAATTTTTTCTATTAAATCTATTACTTAACATGCTGCAAAAATACTATGAAATATACATCTTGTTTTCCCTTTATTATAATTCCTACTATCAGCTAGTACAGTTCCTTCAAATATCTTTGTTGTCTAAGCCATGCCCTTACTGTCACTTCGGAAGGGACAGAGGGAGACATAAGAGGGAAAAGCATATTTTCCTAACCATGACTGCTGCTCGTTCAATACAATATTCAGTGTTCACTTAACTCACTGTTTTTTCAGGGAATAACGCATTTGCTGAGACAGCGTTTAATGATCTTAAGGATTAATGCTATGTACTGACAGATGTTTTTCCTTTTGTGTTTCCTCCTATGTTCAACCTCTTTTCTTTCATGTATTTGTCAAAGAAGCTTGACCCAGGTGCCTTGTTTAAAAAACACTCTAGATGAAAAGAAGATAAAATAAATGAACTGATGGCTACTTACTGTTTGAACAATGAAGAGGACTGTTCCACAGAGACGAACGCATTTGTTAAATCGAAGTTCTAAATACTGTTTCCAAAAAAAGGAAAAATGGTTAATATGTAAAACTTCTGGACACTTTTTAAAAACCAGCAGCTTAAGAAGCAAAGGAGCTAAAACTTTAAAGAAACTTCATAACTAATTTTTACCCTGCATTTCTATTCCACTATTTATATTTTAATTTAAATTATTTGAATATTGTTATTTAAATTAATATTTTATTTCAAAAGTTATTTATTTTTTAATTGAAGGATAATTGCTTTACAGAATTTTGTTGTTTTCTGTCAAATTTCAACATGAAGCAGCCACAGGTGTACATACGTTACCTATGTACATATGTACAGCCATAGGTGTACAAATTATTTAAATTAGCATTTTAAGTTACATATAGTAAAACTGACCCTTGTTTTAGAGTACAGTTCAGACTTTTTTTGTTTGCTTGTTTGTCTGTTTTTGGCCACACTGTGCGGCATGTGGCATCTTAGTTCCCCGATCAGGGATGCAGCCTGTGTCCCCTACATTGGGTGTGCGGAGTCTTAACCGCCGGACTGCTGGGTTAAGTCCCAGTTCAATGGTTTTAACACAGAACAGTTTCATCACCCCCAGAAAAGTCCTCCATGTTGCTCCTTTGTAGTCAAATCCTCTTTCCATCCCTAAACCTCGGCAATCGCTGACCCATTCTCCATCCCTACAAGTTTTGCCTTGTGCAGAATGTCATACCAATGCAATTATTTTCTGCATTTTTAGAGCGAACAAAGTGTTGTCCTCCCCTTCTCGTGGTATCTACCCAATACATTTCCCCTGCTACACTTAAGGAATCAACCCTTTCCCACTTCTGGCAACTGTGGCAGAATTGTCAATCAAGGTGCCTTGCCTGGGCTAAAAGGCAGTCACATGACCTACGTCCAGCCAGCCATTTTGTCTTCTCAGTAGGTGAATCTTAGAGGCAAAATATAAAGACAGAAAATGACTGAAGCAGAACGCAGACTGATCCTGACAGCGTGGCCTGAAGAGGCTGCCCTGGCTTCTGTTCCTTTTCATGGTCTGTTTGCTCAGCTTTTCCTCCTGTTCTGTGAGTTATGCCCACATCCTCACAATAAAACGTTTTAACTTAAATCAGCCTAAGTCCATTTTTCTATTCAGAGCCAACCCTGACATCTGCAATAGCTTATAATATAGAGGCATACCTCGTTTTATAGCACTTCTTATTGTTCTTCACAGACACTGCATTTTTTACAAATGGAAGATTTCTGGCAACCTTCCATGAAGCAAGTCTATTGGCATCATTTTTCCAACAGCCTTTGCTCACTTCATGTCTCTGTTTCACACTTCGGTAATTCTCCCAATATTTCAAGCTTTTTCATTATTGTTATATTTGTTACAGTGATCTGTGATCGGTGATCTTTGATGCTGCTATTGCAAAACGCTTGTGACTCACTGAAGGCTCAGATGATGGTTAGCATTTTTTTAGCAATAAAGTATTTTTTAATTATGGTATATACATTGTTTTTTAGACAAAGAGCCATTGTACACTTACTAGACTAAGGCATCGTGTAAACATAACTTTTATATGCACTGAGAAAGAAAAAATCATGCAACTCACTTTATTGCAATATTCACTTTATCGTGGCGGTCTGGAACCAAACCTGCCATATCTCTGAGGTAGGTCAGTAGTGTGCCTATCTCCCATGTTGTATATAATAATGTGTCACAAAGTTGGAATCCTAGGACTTTAAAGCTGAAAGGAACTGGGGTCCATGGTTTTGTCACTAAGTCGTGTCCAACTCTTGTGACCCCATGGACTTAGCCCGCTGGGCTCCTCTGTCCATGGGATTCTCCAGGCAAGAATACTGGAGTAGGTTGCCATTTCCTTCTCCAGGTGATCTTCCCAACCTGGGGATCAATCCCGGGTCTCCTGCACTGCAGGCAGATTCTTTACCCACTGAGCTATGAGGGAGGAAGCTCGGGTCCAAGATATTCTTTAACTTGAATAGTATTACTACAATATACAGAGAATTTTAAGGCTAACAGTAGTCTTTTCACATATAGAAGAAAAAAAGAAGGAAGGAAAAACTGATATTAGATAAATATCAGGGAAAAGACACTAGATATTTTAGCTTCATATTTACGGATAACATTTATAATGTATTTGCTGCATGTCTTGTCCTCACAGCCAAGTCCATGAGGTGGTTACTATACAAAATGAATATTAGAAACCAGGACACTGGGGTACAGAGAGAAAACCAAGATTGCAACCTAATAATTGTTAAAGACAATGCAAATTTGGGACCACTTGATATCAAACTCTGTGTACATAACCATTATGTTGTCCAAAACATCAAGTAAACTGCCCATGTGTCTAGGAGTCATCCAGAGCGAGTGAGTAGCGCTGACACGGAGGCCCTCCTAAGATAACTGATAAGTAAAAACACGCCGTACTCTTCAGTGAGTGTGCTGGGCAAGAGTTCCAGCCTCTGTTCCAGCCGCACTCTTGACTCCACAAGCTTGGGGCACTCAGAGTCTCAATTTCCTCCTCCTGAAAATGTGGATCATAGTAACACTTCTTTCCTCTCTTACTGTGCAGGATTTTGGAGCCCATCAAATGATGCAAATGGACGGGGAAATGTTGTAAACCATTCACTTAAATCTAAGACATTAAGAAGCTGGTAACCAAACCCACAGGCCTTGAGAATTTGAATCTTAGTAAATTACGTGTGTTAAAATTATCCAACTATATTTTGAAAGGCTTTTCAGAAAGCCCAAGAGGTGTTTTGAAGCATGAAAACAGAGCACTGTTATTTCTTCTAAGTTGTTTTAGTAAAACCCTATTTATTAAAGCAATTCCACATATCAAAAAATTTAAAATAAATAAATAAATAAATAAATGTACATGAATTGACAGAGAAATCTTTACCTTTTCTAGGTATGTATATCCAAATTGGTGGAGATTAAAAAAAAAAACTAGGAGGAAAATGTGATGAAGGTAAGAATGTAGCAGGTTTAACAAAATATATGTATACATTTTTCCTCACACAAGACTAACTCAAGACAGAACCAAGAATTCAGTATCATGACCATGTCAGTGACATGGAATGTCACTGACCATCTCAGTGTCGAGTGAAAAAAGTGCACAACATAGAAGCTGAGAATTATGCTTTATTCTGAGGCCTTACTGAGGATGATAGCCCAGGATGGCAGCCTCTCAGATAGCGCTAAGGAACTGTTCCAAAGAGGCAAGGGAGGAGCCAGGATATAGAGGAGTATTTAATAGGGGGCAAGGGAAGAATATGTAGTTGAACATCAAAAGATTACTGTTAATCACAAAAAACCAGACATCTCAAGTTAATGATTTCAGTCCTTTTCTGTGTATGGAAAGATGCAAGAGCCTGAGCTTACTGAAATCCTTCCTTTCACATACATCTTCGCTATCTAGGGCCAGTATCCTATTTGTCTCCACTCTCTCAGGGTGCCCCACGGATGGCCGCTGCAGTGGCTGATGGCTTTGTGGCCACAATATTCTTTGTTTACGGCAGTGGCAGAGACATTCTTTGTCCACCTCAGCTACTGGGCTGCTAAAGAAATACTTAACGACCAAGTCACGGATCTGTAGGCTCAGAGAGTAGCTCTAGGATTTCTTGACAAAACTACAGAGTAACAGTAGGCATCTGTGTAACCAAGCGGGACCCGATGGGGCCTTCCCGGGACAGAGTCCTGCCTCCATGTCCTCACCCTGCCTCTTGTTTATGGGAAAGCTGTAGTCTCCCAGGCTTCCCTGAGTTACAGAAGTCTGGCCCAACAATTAATGATTGAAAAGATGTTGAATACATAGTGACAAAAGTAGCACTTGGGCCAGAACTGGTAACAATTTAAACAGACAATCGGCCCATGGCAGTCACAGAAGTTCCTTCCCGCCCATAGCAGTCACAGAAGTTCCTTCCCAAAGTACCAAAATAACAGTATCTGATGTGCATTTCCCCAGTTGCTTTACGGATGCTAAAACCTCCACCAAATGGAAGGAGCTAATTAACTGAAGCCCCCAGACCCACTGAAGCCTGAGGATTGATAATGTTCACCCCTGTAACACTGCCAGGTTACCTCACTATAAACCCATCAGAGAACTGTGCCCAAGGTTATCACATAGTCAGCGACTGCCCGTCCTCACCTTGCCTTTAAAAATGCTTCCCTAAAAGCCATCAGGGTCTGAGTTTTTGATAATCATCTGCCCCAGACTAATAATAAAAGCTGCAGTTTCTTTCACCACAATCCAGAGTCAGTAAATTGGCTTTCCTGTATATGGGCAAGTGGACCCAAGTTTGGTTTGATATCACCTATCGTCAGCCAAGATCTCTCATGGTTCATGGTACTTTGAATAATGTAGGGACACTAAGACTCTTATTGAATTTTGTTTTTAAAAAAGAGAGAGAGAGAGTAAGGGCAATGTAGTTGAAACACTTAGATTTTGTTGAATCCAGAAAGATCCTGAAGAAATAGGGAATGCAGTTGGGTTCCTGCACGATATTTCTTTTCTGTGGGTCTGGAACTTGTTAAACACCTCTCAGGACTATACCTTGAAAGCAGTGATAGATATCACAAATGCTTCTGAATAGCCTATTGTATTGTGTGTGTGTGTGTGTGTGTGTGTGTGTGTGTGTGTATTAGTCGCTCAGTTGTGTCCAACTCTTTGCAATCCCATGGACTGTAGCCCACCAGGCAACTCTGTACATGGAATTCTTCAGGCACGAATACTGGAGTTGGCTGCCATTCCCTTCTCCAGTGCATCTTCCTGACCCAGGGATGGAACCCGGGTCTCCTGCATTGCAGGCTGATTCTTTTCCATCTAAGCCACTAGCGAAGACCCATTGTATTGTACCATAGCTAACAAATGGAATCTAGGGAGAAATTTCATACTTGTGTAAGAATACCAGGGTTCTCAATGCTGGACCTCTTATTCTGCAGAGTTAACTCCAGCTCTCCACAGAAAACAAACAAAATATACCACGTGAAAGTGGTATATTGGTTCCATGACCAATATACCATGGTCAAGTTCCATGACCAGTTCCATGACCACCTGCCAGAGACATAGCATGAAGCCTAACTTCTCTGTCCCCCACGGCCTGGCATCCACTAGTCATGGACACCCCTGTGTGCCCACAAGCCCCTATGTTCTACACCACGTCCCCTTTGCCTTAGCCCTTCTAAGCTCCGCTCAGGGTTATGGCACTCACAGAAGCCTTCAGAGGCAGCCGGTGTGCACCACTGCAGAACCTCTCGGCATTCATCCACTCTGCTTCAGGCTCTCTTGTGTAACTCAGTTCACTCTGGTTCTCTTTGCTTGCAAAATGGGGCTCTCACAGCATAAGGATTATTTTGAGTATTGAGACAGAAAATGTATGTAAAACAGGCAGCCCAGTACCCAGCCTGTACTGAGCAAATGTTGGCTTTTTGCCATTTTTAGCTGGAGCCTTGCTAACTTAGCCTCCACCACTGCAGATGTGCTGGAAATGTGTTTCCGGTTGAGTTACTATTGCTGCCCTGGAGAGGTACGGGTCAGTGACTATGAGAGGAGCAGTCATCTACGGTGACTGAAATCCTCATGCCAGGTTCTTCAAACCCCTTCTGGGTTTTGGAGTTGTTTAACTACAGATCAGAGCTCACAGACTCAAAATGCCTGCAGATCTCATCAGGTGAAATACATAAGTTACTTGACCAGGCACTCATATATTAACCAGCTTGAAATATTCTTCATATCCACTAAGAAATATGTTCTATGACATGCCCCTCCAAACAAGAACTCCTTCTACACCTTTCTATCTTCTCTTTTGTATGTTTGATAAAGACTTAAATGCAGATAGATTTTTCTATCATAAGAAAGTAACCATGCAGATACAGCGAAGAGGCCTCAATGCAGAAATTAATCGCGAATTAGAGCAGCGGCTGTTAACTGAAGTTCCTGTCACCACAGGGAATGTGAGCCCTGAGTCAGTAGTCTCTTAAGTTTCAAAAGAAGCCAGAATCTGGAATTTTACTTGACTTCTCATCATCATCATTAAATGCTAAATCAGCTTTTCCCTTGTAGCTCAGCTGGTAAAGAACCCGCCTGCAATGTGGGAGACCTGGGTTCTATCCCTGGGTTGGGAAGATCCCCTGGAGAAGGCAAAGGCTACCCACTCCAGTATTCTGGCCTGGAGAATTCCATGGACTGTATAGTCCATGGGGTAGCAAAGACTTGGACATGACTGAGCGACCTTCACTTTTTTCAAAGCATTATGAGGATCAACTACAACCAAAAAGACTTAAGACTGAGTTTGGCCTGGGGTGATCAGTTTGTCACTTTTGAGCAAAACAGACTGTATCCTGCTCACTTCTGGGGTGATGACTAAACACTCTCAAATACAATGACCAGAGTGCAAAGAAGGCAACGCGACCCCAGGGGCACCTCGCCCTGAATGACGTCACTGGAGCCCAGGCAGTCTGTCACCAACACTTGTGCCATTAGGGCCCTTCCCCAGCACCAGCTGAAGCAGCCTCGCTGAGTGACTGGATGGGGCAAACATTCCATAAACTCAAGGACAAGGTGGCTGCTGAGAGGCTCGGCTTCCTCTGGAATCGAATCCTTCTGCAGCTTTGTCCACGGAGCTCAGCCAACTAGGCCTGACCCCTCCCCTGAACTTTTATTCTCCCTGGACGCTCCTACTCAACAGCTCTTTAAACTAAACCAAACGTTCACACTACCTTGCAGAGCCCTTTCCGGCAGACAGCTTGAGAGAATCCACACTCAGTGGACCTGTGCAATTGGAAAGCCGGTTTCCTGAATCATCTCTCCACAGAAGGAGAAGGCAGAGCTGATGAGGAAACTTGTGGCCAAATTCTCCTAGTGATCCCAATGGAACCACCTCTACCATCATCACCCCAATATTTAGGGTCAACATTTATTCAGCACTTACCCTGTGCCAGACACTATTCTAAACGCTATCCTTGCATCATCTCATCTAATCCTCCCAACAACCAGTTGAGGTAGGTGGTATAATTATTTCCATTTTGAGATTAAGAAAGAGGCACAATCGCTTAAATGTCAGTACAGGTTCTCCAGCTAGTAAGTGGAGAACCCCGTCTCAAATGCAGGTGCTGGGACAAGAGATTAAGAATCTTAACCATTTGGGTACCTGCCCCTGGGTGGAAGGCAGGGGAGAGTACACACACTTTCCTGCTATCCTGGAAAAGTAAATGGAGCCCGAGGGCCTGGAATGAGGGGATTCATTTCAAGGAGGAGGAGCTGAGACTTGAAAGACGGACCCTCCCCCAGGATAAGTTTAAAAATCTTTCCCCTTGACTTGGAATCAAAGACGTTAAAGCAGAAATCGCCTTAGTGAACACTAGTCGAAATAACTCCGTTTACTTCAGAAGCCTCTTTTCCTTCGAGCTCATGAAAGTTAAGTCCCAAGATTTCTCCCCCCCTCCTTTACAGAACACCTCTCCCGGAAAGGGGAGGGCAGCAGAAGTGATGGATTTCGACCAGGGATAGATTTCGATGTGGGGGTGAGTCTGCCCCCAGGAAAATTCCTCCGGGAGCCTGAAAAGTCCTCCTCTCCCCCCATCACCTCTCCCCGTGAGCCCCTGACCTTTTACCTCGTAGGTGCTTGTAATGCCCAGTTTGTAGAACACGGGGAGGAAGACCTCCGCGCTGAGGACCACCACGAGGAAGTAGGTGATGGCAAAGATGCTGAATATGGCCCCAAAACGATAGACCTCGGACGGGGTGCCCAGGACGGTGACGGCAGACATGAAACTTGCGGTGAGGGACAAGGCCACGGGCACGGCGGTCATCCTGCGGCCGCCCATCAAGAAGTCCTTGGAAGTCTGCTGGCCGCCCCCCGCGAAGGCGTAGTAGATGCCGATGACCGCCGAGATGAGCAGCATCCCAGCGAACACTACGTAGTCCCACACCACGAAGGTGCCGATGTCCCGCGGTGCGCCCATGGCCGCGCGGTCGCCGGGGTCCTGCGCGCAAACTGGCGGCCCCGCGGCGCGCAGCCCGAGCCGGAGCTTCCCCTGCGCGCCGGGCACTCACTTATTCCCCAGTCGCACGCGGCGGGTGTGGCGCCCTGCGGGGATGAGAGGCGTCTGGCAGGTGTCGGTCCCTCCGCTCCCCGGCGCCCAGCGCAGCCTCTGCCCACCGCAGCCAGCAGAGACCTCCGAAACGAGGTTTGGGGGACACCCCACCCACACGGCGCTGAGCTCTCCCTGGGCTCCAGACCAAGGTGGCTCGCCCCGCGCCGCGGACACCGGGGCAGGTGAGAACTGGAGCTTCCAGCCGCCTCTGGCGAATCTTCAGGGAGCGCTCAGGGAAATTTTTATCAAGTGACACCCGAAGGGACGCACTATTTAAATGAGCAGGTGACGATCGGGGAGTGTGGGTCGAAGGGTAATTGTCACGCCTTTAAGCTTTCCGGTTCAACAGACTGGGTCCTTACGGGAAGGTACACCTGGAGTTTTTAGACTGATTTATTTGATACATTGATGGGTGATTTCTGTGACAGTGTGCAGTGAGCTGAGGTCCCAGTTCTTAGACAGGTAAGCAGTCATAAAGGAGAAGAACAAATCTGTGCTATTGGTTGCCTGTGTTTTTACTCAATGAACAAGTTTCATCCCTAGCAGTTTCTCCTAGGAATGACAGTCACTATAATATATATGTGTGTGTGCATGTGTGTGCTCAGTTCTCAGTGGTGTTGGACTCTTTGCATCTCTGTGGACTGTAATGGGACAGACTCCTCTGTTCATGGAATTTTCCAAGAAGAAGACTGGAGTGGGCTGCCAGTTCCTACTCCCGGGGATCTTCTTGAACCAGGAAGTGAACTCATGTTTCTTGTGTCTCCTGCACCGGCAGGTGGATTAATAATACCTACAATTTAATGAGTCTTACCATGTGACATATGACATGCTTGGCACTTTGTACATTAACTAGTGTAATTCTTACTATTACCCTTAATACAGAAATCATCTCCACTTATCAAATAAGGAAACTGGCTAAAACACTTGCCCAAGAAAATGGTGGAGATTAAGATTTTTAATCCAGGTCTGATACAGAATTTGTTCTCTTAATCACAATGCTATACCTTGTAGAGTTCAAATATAGACACTTGTTAAATGTAGGCACAATTATATACACTTAAATGAAGACACTTGAAAGCATGTGGAAGACAAGATCATTTTCAGTATTAGCACTCAGTATTTTAAGTGGCTTGTCTGGAAATATTACTAACAACATGAGTCATGCTTGTAAAGCAATGTGATTCCTAAATTCTTCTTCTAAAATAGGCCCTCTAGCCAAATATGCCCTGGCATAGGTCTATTTCAAGCCATCCTTGTTCATTTTCTTAAATGCTTATAATTTACCTGTTGACTCTTGGTAGACAATCCACAGAATGCATTTAGCCCAGCTTGGCATGTGAAGAAAGCTATGTCAGAATTTTTTTGTAAACTGGCCTTATTTGCATAAGTCTTCCCTGGTGGCTCAGTGGTAAAGAATTTGCCTGCCAATGCAGGAGACTCAGGTTCAATCCCTGGGTCAGGAAGATCCCCTGGAGAAGAAAGTGGCAACCCACTCCAGTATTCTTGCCTTAGAAATCCCACGGGCAGAGGAGCCTGGAAGACTACAGTCCTTGGGTTCACAAAGCAGTCAGATGTGACTTAGCGACTAAATAACAACATTTATTTGCATAACACTCTTGAAAGGAAATAAAGAAGAAAATAGAAGATAAATCCAAGTAACTCCATTATTTAAACAACTATATGGTTTGAAATTAATTCCTGTATGAAGTTTACTATATTTCAGAGACAGCATTTTTCTTCTGCTGTCACTGCCTGGTGCTCAAACTCTCACCATAAAATTGCATCATAAAAGTTATAGCATCCACTGCATCTGGGGTTCTTCCATCTCTGTACAAACTACAGCACTTTAATTCACTATGCAATGCCAGTGTACTCAGCTCCATTAGTGTCCTGTCAAAGGATAAAGTGAGATTATATGCTCTCTGGAGGTGTCAGCCTCTGACTGTATAGAGAAAGGCATTGTGGTGGGAAACACTCAGACAGCAGAGGGTGGGCTGCCTAGTTCTCTGATGGGGATACATGTTATGACTTTGAACCCAGCATAGTAATAGTTGTAAGTGGGAAAAGAGGTCTTCCCACTTAATTTTTTTTTAATTGGAGGCTAATTACTTTACAATATTGTGGTGGTTTTTGTCATACAATGACATGAATCAGCCATGGGTGTACATGTGTCCCCCATCCTGAACCCCCTCCCATTCCCTCCACATCCCATCCCTCAGGGTTGTCCCAGTCCACCAGTTTTGAGTGCCCTGTTTCATGCATTGAACTTGGACTGGTGATCTACTTCACATATGATAATATACATATTTCAATGCTCTTCTCTCAAATCATCCCACCCTCACCTTCTCTCACAGAGCCCAAAAGTCTGTTCTTTATATCTGTGTCTCTTTTGCTGTCTCGCATATAGGGTCATCATTACCATCTTTCCAAATTCCATATATATGTGTTAATATACTGCATTGGTGTTTTTCTTTCTGACTTACTTCATCCTGTATAAGAGTCTCCAGTTTCATCCACCTCATTAGAACTGATTCAAATGTGTTCTTTTTAATAGCTGACTAATATTCCATTATGTATATGTACCACAGCTTTCTTTTTTTTTTTAATAATTTTTTTTTTAAAATACAGAAGTGACTTTATTATGGATTTACATTGTAAAATAAAATTGTTTTCCAGAAAACTAAAATATAAAACAACTTGATAATAGAACATGATAAAATGTCTGTTTAGTTCTTTGGCCCATTTTTGATTGGGTCATTTATTTTTCTGGAATTGAGCTGCATGAGCTGCTTATATATTTTTGAGATTAATTCTTTGTTAGTTGCTTCATTTGCTATTATTTTCTCCAATTCTGAAGGCTGTCTTTTCATCTTGCTTATAGTTTCCTTCATTGTGCAAAAACTTTTAAGTTTAATTAGGCCCCATTTGTTTATTTTTGCTTTTATTTCCATTATTCTGGGAGGTGGGTCATAGAGGATTCTGCTGTGATTTATGTCAGTGTTTTGCTTATGTTTTCTTCTAGGAGCTTTATAGTTTCTGGTCTTACATTTAGATCTTTAATCCATTTTGAGTTTGTTTTTGTGTATAGTGTTAGAAAGTGTTCTAGTTTCATTCTTTTACAAGTGGTTGGCCAGTTTCCCCAGCACCACTTGTTAAAGAGATTGTCTTTCTCCATTGTATATTCTTGCCTCCTTTGTAAAAGATAAGGTGTCCATAGGTGCCTAAATTTATCTCTGGGCTTTCTATTTTGTTCCATTGATCTATATTTCTGTCTTTGTGCCAGTACCATACTCTCTTGATGACTATTGCTTTGTAGTATAGACTAAAGTCAGGCAGGTTGATTCCTCCAGTTCCATTCTTCTTTCTCAAGATTGCTTTGGCTATTCGAGGTTTTTTGTATTTCCATACAAATTGTGAAATTATTTGTTCTAGTTCTGTGAAAAATACCATTGGTAGCTTGATAGGGATTACATTGAATCTATAATGGGCCATGATGTATGTTTTTTGTTCAGTTAAATGTGACCTCCTACTAATTCATCCTACATTATGTGCCCCTTGACCAGCTCTCAGGCATCATTTCCTGCCACTTCTTTTCCCCGTTTACTCTATTCCCAGCCGCATTTCTTCTCGGTGCTCCTGGCGTGTGCCAGGCTTGTTCCTGCCTCAGAGCCTGTGCATGTGTTGCGTCCTCTGCCTTGAATGCTCTTCCTCCAGATGTCATCAAGACTCTGACCTTCGCTTCATTCAGGTGTCTGCTCAGATGCCATCTCCTCCAAAAGCCTTCCCTGACCACCCCATCTATCACTTTCTACTCCCTCACTTTGTGTTTGTTTTGTTTTGCTTTTTTTCATATACAAAACAGTCTGACATAGTTCTTTGTTTATCTGGTTTATAGTCTGTCTCCTCCCACTGGAACAGAAGCCCCATCATGGCAGGGAATTTCTTTGTTCACCATTATACTCCCTGAGTGTAGAATCTGATGCATAATAGTTATTTTTAAAAATATTTGTTGGGATTTCCCTGGTGATCCAGTGGTTAAGACTCCGTGCTTCCAATGCAGGGGACCCAGGTTCGATCCCTGGTCAGGGAACTAGATCCCACATCCTGCAACTAGGACCTGGTACAGACAAATTAATTAATTAATTTTAAAAATTAATTAAAAATAAAAAATATTTGTTGAACATGTGAATAGACAAAGGAAGGAATTATTAGGAAATCTTTTCAAATAAATTGATTTCTAATGTTGCAAATTTCATCTTTTTCTGTTTTTCATAGGCATTTTGAAGGAGAAAATGAGAGAAACTACAGTAGGAACTACTTGTTATTTTAAAGCTAACTTTAGACCTGAAGCAGTTTAATTTATCATTATTTTTCTTTACTCTTTGTATCAGCTAATACTGCATTCGGCTGAAAATGACAGGAACCAAAATAACAATGGTATAAACAAGACAAATGTCTCTCTTCCACATTTAAAGATGTTCACAGATAAGTAGTAAGAGTTGGGATCAGTTGGAGAGGGTGAGTCTACATGAAATGATCTGGGATCCATACTCAGATTTGGTTTTCATTTCATCAAGAAGAAGGAAAGGACTGCTTAGGGTACATCCACATCTTTCAAGGACATTTCTCATCAATTTTAAGTGACAGTTGCTTTTATATCCCATTGAACAGAACTTAGTCACATGGTCACATCTAATTGCCAGGGAGACTGGGAAATGAAGTTTTTACACCAAGGGGCCATGTGCCAAACTAAATTTGGGGGTCCTACTTCTAAAGAAGAAGAGAAGAATGACAGTCTCTGCCACATCTAACTTAAGCACCAAAACAGACTTGTTTCTCAGATACCAGTTTCCTAGGAAGTTTTACTATTTCCCCATGGGTCATCCTTAGCTGACAAAGGATTAGACATCCTCAGGTTTAAGAACACAAATCAACTGTGCCAATGACTAGTTCCCAGTTTACCCTTCTCTACTTGAAGTTGTCAGTCTCTGGTTTCTCCTTTTGTTTTGACAAACAGCTGTTCTCTCCTCAAGAAACCACTCAGAAGACCCCTAACCCTAGGGCCACACAGAAGCAGTGAAGTGGCTGAGTCAGAATTGGGGACACAGAGGATCACTGCGGCACCAGTTCAGTGGGCTACCCTTTACTCATTTGCCTACAGCCCTTGAAGAAAGCATTTCTCATGTGCATTTTGACATGCAATTGGCTGCTTTAAAGATCAG